CTGCCTCAGCCTTCCAGGTAGCTAGATCTGCAGGCATGTGCCACCACACCTGGCTGAGTATACTTGCATTTTTGAAAGGATTTCTTTTTTTTTTTTGAGTTGAAGTCTCACTCAGTCTCCCAGACTGGAGTGCAGTGGCCGCTCCCGGCCACCGCAGCCTCGACCTGCTGGGCTCTGGCGATCCTTCCACCTCAGCCTTCCAAGTAGCTGGAACTATAGGCGCGCGCTACCATGCCTGGCTCATTTTGATTTATTGTGGAGATGAGGTCTCGCCAAGTTGCCCAGGCGGGTCTTGAACCCGCGGGTTTAGGCAGTCCACTCACCTCAGCCTCCCAAAGCGCGGGATTACAGGCTGAGCCACCGAGCCTGGCTTGAAGGGATTTCATATGTATTACTGAATGATAGTGCTGGAGAGTCAAAGTTAAGAGAAGTTTATTGCCTTTGGTCAACTCACAGACAAATAGGGAAAGAGAGAGAAAAACATTAGCAAATTATTATAAGATAATATCAGTATTGAATGAGATGAAGCTATTAACATAGGAATTAATAGAATGGGCACTGAAATTAACTGTGTGGATTTGATTACTTAAGCTTTTCTGTTTCTGTGCCTCAGTTTCTTTACCTGTAAAATGAATAGAATATGTGATTAAAAAAAAAATCTCAATAAAGTTGTTACTAGAAACTGTGCAGAAAAATAGAGCTTTCTTTTTCCTTTTTTGAGTTGGAGTCTCACTCTGTAGCTCAGGCTGGAGTGCAGGGTACCACAGCCTTGACCTGATGGGCTCAGGCGATCCTTCTGCCTCAGACTTCCAAGTAGCTGGAACTACAGTTGTGGTGTGCCACCATGCCCAGCTAGTTTTTGATTTATTGTAGAGATGAGGTCTCATTGCCCAGGCTGGTCTCAAACCCCTGGGCTCAGGCAATCCCTTTGCCTCGGCCTCCCAAAGTACTGGGATTACAGGTTTGAGCCACTGCACCTGGCAAAAAATAGAGCTTTCATAAGCTTCTTGTGATGTTATCTGAGTGCTTTTTTGAGTCAGGCACTGTTCTCGTTGCAGAGGATACAGTATAGTGCCTGGCACCTAATAAGCATTCAACAAATATTTGTTATAAGCACTGTTGTTATGACCTCTGCTTGGACTCAGAAAAGAAGTGACCTTTCATCTGGCCATTGAGAGAGTGCTTCTACTAAAAGGAGGTCAGAGAATGATGGCTTAGAGGGAATAACCTAAGCATAGACACAGAGGAATGAAACATCATGGTATTTTCAGAAATTGGAAATGGTCTAGTATAGCTGGAGCACAGGGAGTATGTGGTAGGATGGTGAGAGAGAAAGCTAGTGAAACAAGACCCAGATGGTGCAGAGTTTTATTTGCTGTTGGAGTTTGGACTTAACTCGGTAGATGAAATGGAACCGTCAGAAGCCTTTAAAGACAGACTTGTAACAATTTGAGCAGTGTTTTAAGAAGATCCTTCATTGCTTCTATGGAGAAGGGACTTGAATGGAAGAGGGTTGGAGAGACCATTCAGGAAGAGAGGGAAAGGCTGCTGAAGACAGCTGGTGAGAGATGGTGAGGCAGTTGCTGAAGTGCTGAGTGCTCCAGAGGTGGAGCAGGGCTTGGGGCTGGTGGGAGGGGAAGCTGTGGGAGCCATAGGTTGAGGACTAGCCAGGGTATCCGGCTGCGTGTTGATGCCACTTAGAGATAAGAGCAGGAGGAACAGATTTTTCCTTCCCAAAAGTTTCATCTAAGGAAGGAGAACTGCTTCTTCCTAATCCTAGTCCATCCTTGCCAAGCTATAAGCCTCTTCTCTCTTGGGCCTTGTAAACAGTCAGCTGTTCCAGACAAGCAATTATTGATCTCAGGCAGTTGGAGCAGGAGGTGGCTGTGTTTATTCCACTCCCTGGAAGAGAGAGGTGAAAGTCACATGCTTGTTTCTACCACATTTATAAGAATGGATGGAATTGGAGCATTAGCTTCCCTCTTCTGATAACAGACTCTTGGACCACTCTTCTCTCTCACCCTCAAATCTTTGGAGAACCATGCTAAGTTAAAAAGTTATTTTCCGCCGGGCTCGGTGGCTCAGCCTGTAATCCCGTGCCTTGGGAGGCTGAGGTGAGTGGATTGCCTGAGTTCGAGACCCGCCTGGGCAACTTGGCGAGACCTCATCTCTACAATAAATCAAAAAATGAGCCAGGTGTGGTAGCGCACACCTGTAGTTCCAGCTACTCGGAAGGCTGAGGCGGAAGGATCGCCGGAGCCCAGCAGGTCGAGGCTGCAGTGGCCGGGAGCGGCCACTGCACTCCAGTCTGGGCGACAGAGTGAGACTCCAACTTAAAAAAAAAAAAAAAAAAAAAAGTTATTTTCCAGACTGGGCATGGTGGCTGACACCTGTAATCCCCACACTTTGGGAGGCTGAGGTGAGAGGATTGTCTGAGCCCACGGGTTTGTGATCAACCTGGGCAATTTGATGAGACCTAATCTCAACAATAAATCAAAAAAATTAGCTGGGCGTGGTGGCGCACACCTGTGGTTCCAGCTACTTGGAAGGCTGAGGTGGAAGGATCCCCTGAGTCCAGTAGGTTGAGGCTGTAGTGGCTGTGAGTGTACACGGCACTCTAGCCTGGGCGACAGAGTGAGACTCCAACTCAAAAAAATTAAAATTAAAATTTAAAAAATGGCCAGGCTTGGTGACTCATCCTGTAATCCAAGCACCTTGGGAGGCCAAAACAAGTACATTGCCTGAACCCGTGGGTTCGAGACCAGCCCAGGCAACTTGGTGAGATGTTGTCTCTACACTAAATAAAAAATTAGCTGGGCAGAGTAGCACAGTGCTATTTGGAAAGCTGAGGCAGAAGGATTGCCTGTGCCACTGCACTCCAGTCTGGGTGACAGAGTGAGACTCCGACTCAAAAAAAAAAAAATTTTTTTTAAGTTATTTTTCATTTTTTCTTTTCTTAGCCAGTGTCCCACAAAAAATGTCATTCAGATTTTTGGCCAAGTCAAGGAATCAATTCTGAGCCCACCCTTGCCACTGGGCTCCAGAATAGCACCTTTCCTACTGCTGCCATCTGACCTGGTTCTGGTTCTAGAGTCTGTAGCTTAGCAGGTGTGTGTGAGGGGCCTGCTGGTGTCACAGCTTAGCTCGGCACTATCCTGTCCCTACTTAGTCATATTTACAAGTACTCTGGATACAGGACATTATGCCTGGCACTAATCAATGTGGTGAGACAGCCCTAACTCTTACGGTTCTGTTCTTGTCAGTTATTTCCAACTTCCTTCTTTCTCTACCTTCTACTTTCTACTAGCCAGGATTGTTCTAGTTAGTGAGTTTCCTTGGTAAAGGGTTAGGGCACACAGAGTTCTGTCTTCTCTTCCTCTGTTGTAAAGTTGTCACGTTCATAACTCTCCCTCTTCCAAATTAGCTCTTAGAGTTTCCCGTAATGTTTTACTTCTTTGGCGGGCAAAAGATCCAACTGATCATCTCCTTCTGTTCCTCTCTAGAACTGGGTTGGGAGAGAAATAAAACCTCTCAGACTGGAATGACTAGCTCTGGCTTTTATGAAACACCACTGAGAGTATGTTTGTTATTTTCAGTAAACAGTTGACTCCATGCTAATGAGTGTGACCATGGGAATCAGCATTTTTTGAAACATTATCATCACAAGACAAATGTGGGGGTTTTATACCCTGGACCATCACTTGTACTTTTCTGATTTCTGGGCCACTTGGAAACCCCTGGTTTACAATTAAATAGGACATGGGTGTTAATAGACTTGATCCCTTTTGAGCTGAAGTTTGTAAAATTTTTCTGGGTCAGAAAATTTTATAAGAACTATGTCTGAGCCGGGCTTGGTGGCTCAGCCTGTAATCCCGCACCTTTGGGAGGCTGAGGTGAGTGGATTGCCTGAGCCTGCAGCTTCGAGACCCGCCTGGGCAACTTGGCGAGACCTTATCTCTACAATAAATCAAAAAATCAGCCGGGCGTGGTAACACGTGCCTGTAATTCTGGCTACTCAGAAGGCTGAGGTGGAAGGATCGCCAGAGCCCAGTGGGTCGAGGCTGCAGTGGCCGGGAACGGCCACTGCACTCCAGTCTGGGCAACAGAGTGAGACTCCAACTCAAAAGAAAAAAGAAAAGAAATATGTCTGGCCAGGTGCTGTGGCTCATGCCTATAATCCTAGCACTCTAAGAGGCTGAGGCAAGAGGATTGCCAGAATCCACGGGTTCGAAACCAGCCTGGGCAACATGTTGAGACCTCGTTTCCACAATAAATAAAAAAATTCGCCAAGCGTGGTGGCAAGCACCTGTAGTTTCAGCTACTTAGAAGGCTGAGGTGGAAGGATTGCCTGAGCCCAGCAAGTTGAGGCTGTAGTGGCAGTGAGCAGTGTGTCACTGCACTCCAGCCTGGGTGGCAGAGTGAGACTCCAACTCAAAAAAAAAATGTCTATTGGCTGGACATAGTGGCTCGTGGCTATAATTCACTCCAGCACTTTGGGAGGCGGAGGCGAAAGGATTGCCTGAACCCGGGGTTTGACACCAACCGGGGCAACTTGGCGAGACCTCATCTCTGCAAAAAATAAAAAAATCAGCTGTGTGTGGTGGTGTGCACCTCTAGTTCCAACTACTTGGAAGGGGTGGAAGGATTTCCTGAGCCCAGCAGGTTGAGTCTGCGGTGTCCATGAGTGTGCTACTGTACTCCAGCCTGGGCAACAGAGTGAGACTCCAACTAAAAAAAAAAAAAAGAAAGAAAATAAACATGTCTATAATGTCTCAGTTTGCTAATGTTATATGGTGTTAACTTTCTTGGTTTCCTTTCATTGAAAATCAATCCAGGAAGCTCTCACTTTGTGTGAATTTACATAGCAGCTTGTATAGCAGGAAGCACTTGGTGGGTGACTGTTTGAGAAATTACAGAAAGTTTCATGTTGGTTGGGACTCACTGAGTCTATTCCTGCTTGGTGAGGCTGGATTATTCCACATATATGTTTCTTTTTACAGGCAGTGCTTTCCTCAGTGCTATCTTTCTTGCCTTAGCAACATACCAGTCTCTGTACCCACTCACCTTGTTTGTCCCAGGACTCCTCTATCTCCTCCAGGTAAGCACTTGCTGGTCAGAAGCCAGCACTCATGTGACATTTAATATGTGGCCTGGTCCTTGCTGGAGAGAAGGGTGGGTATGGGTTAATAAGGGCAATGAGACTGCTTGCTTCTACTGAAAACAGAAACACAAAGAAATTTGACTAACTTTAAACAGAATGGGCCTAATGATCATTGAGTTCTAACTACAGTAGTCCCACTGCCACCCCACCCTCCATATTCACAGGGGACATGCTCTAAGACCCCAGTATATGCCTAAAACCGTGCATAGTATTGAACTCTATCACATTATACTTTTTCCAGCTAATAACTGAAACAGCTATTAATTGACTGATGGGCAGGGATGTGTTGGACAAAAGGGTAATTCACATCCCATGTAGGACAGAGTGGGATGGTGTGAGATTTCATCACACTCCTCAGAATGGTGTGCAATTTAAAATGTATGAGTTGTTTATTTTGAATTTTTCTTTGAATATTTTGGGCTATAGTTGATGGGGTAACTAAAACTATAGAAAGGGAAACCTTGGATAACGGGAGACTACCATATGTATATCATTGCTAACATATAAGTGCATTTCATTTTCTGTATTTGTATTTGGGATTTCTCAGCTATCTTGCATTTATCTTCTTCTACCTAATGTACATAGACTCCTCTGAGCTCATTAAAAAAAAGGAATTGATTTTTTAGCTGGGCGAGGTGGCTCATAACTACAATCCCAGCACTTTGGGAGGCGGAGGTGAGAGGATTGCGTGAGTCCAGGGGTTTGAGACCAGACTGGGCAACTTGGTGAGACCTGTCTCTACAATAAATCAAAAAATTAGCTGGGCATGGTGGCACTTGCCTGTGGTTCCAGCTATTTGAAAGGCTGAGGCAGAAGGATCACCAGAACCCAGCAGGTTGAGGCTGCAGTGACTATGAGTATGCTACTGTACTCTAGCCTGGGCAACAGAGTGAGACTCCTACTCTTTTTTTTTTTTTTTT